AAATACAATGAAATTGTTATAAGGATGAAGTATAATATCTTACCCTCAGAGCAAGTGGAGCCGTCATAACCAGGAGCACACTGACAGGTGAAGCCTGGGGCAGTGTTAGTACAATTCCCTCCATTATTGCACGGGTTGTACAAGGCACATTCATCAATATCAGTCTGACAGCGATCACCAGTGAAACCAGAGGGACAATCACATGTGAAATTATCAAATGAGACTTGAGTGCAGCTGCCACCATTGCATGGATTAGGATCACAGAGGTTGATAGGCTCATTGCATGTGGTTCCGGTGTATCCAGGCAAACAATCACAGTTTATATTACCAGGAGACACTAAAGTACACGAGCCATTGTTGCAAGGATCAGACTGACAGAGATCTATAACAGCATCACATAAGAGGCCAGTGTAACCAAAAGAACAATCACAAGTAAAGGTATTTGATGAATCCTCTATCTGACAGGTAGCACCATTGTTACATGGATTAGAATCACATGTAGGAATCTGACATGTATCGCCTCTATAGCCAGGAGGACATGTACATGTAAATGTATCGGGTGAGTCTGAATCACATGTTCCATTATTAAAGCATGGATTAGGATCACAGGAATCATTAATCGAAGTGTTACATGTATCACCGGTGAAATCAGGTGGACAGATACATGTGAATGTATCAGGTGAGTCTGAATCACATGTTCCATTATTAAAGCATGGATTAGGATCACAGGAATCATTAATCGAAGTGTTACATGTATCACCGGTGAAATCAGGTGGACAGATACATGTGAATGTATCAGGTGAGTCTGAATCACATGTTCCATTATTAAAGCATGGATTAGGATCACAGGAATCATTAATCGAAGTGTTACATGTATCACCGGTGAAATCAGGTGGACAGATACATGTGAATGTATCAGGTGAGTCTGAATCACATGTTCCATTATTAAAGCATGGATTAGGATCACAGGAATCATTAATCGAAGTGTTACATGTATCACCGGTGAAATCAGGTGGACAGATACATGTAAATGTATCAGGTAAGTCTGAATCATATGTTCCGTTATTAAAGCATGGATTAGGATCACAGGAATCATTAATCGAAGTGTTACACATATCGCCGGTGAAATCAGGTGAAAAAATAATTATAAATGTACTTTCCAAGTTTAGTTCACAGTCGCTGTTATTAAAGCATGGATTAGAATTACAGGAATCATTAATTGAAGTGTTGCATGTATCGCTGCTGAGATCAGGACATGCAAATATATCAAAGAAGATATGATCACAGGTCCCTCCATTCTGACATGGATCAGGTCTGCAGGATGCATTCTCTGGCACTTCAATACCAATTATTAGTCTATAAATAAATGTACGTTTAAAATAGTATCATTGCACTCTCAGTTCTAAAAATACATGTAGTAACATACTGGAAGAATTTAAAACATCAAAGGGGCGAGCCTAAGCAAGCTATAGATTATGTGCTGTATGATCTACATGTATGAGCAAGCAAAGCAATTGCACAAGTCTAAATGCAGTAGCTCTTGTTGCAGTCATCTTGCTTGAATTTTCTTTATCACTTCACTACTTAAGAATCTCTGCAGCAATTAAAGCCATCTTGCTTATAGTTAGAAGCAGTCACTGAACAAATCGTATTTTAAGAAGATTGTATATCTGCTTTGTTAACCTAGGCTTGCTGCTGGAGAAGGAAACATCACCTAGCATAGCTCTCATTGCAGCTACATTTAGCTAGATCTACAGTTCAGCACATTGCATGCATGCAGCCAGCTCAGTACATGCAGCTTTCTCACTTGTAATCAACTTATCAGAGTCCTTTATACCAAGAAAAGGATTGTATATCTAGTTTTCCAACCTTTCTTTTTGCTAGAGAAGTTTTAGACAGCAGTTTAGTCTTATCTTGCTGACCGTTTGGTTTGCTCAAATTTGCTCAGACCATAGATATCTATGCTCAGACTTGCTGATAGCCGCCATTTAATTCATTGTGACCACACGCGCTTTCATGAAGATTACTTTAGGCTTTTGGGGCTATGGTGGGGCTCGCTCAGGCTCGCCCCAAACACAAATTCACAATATACACTTACTGAGAGCCTACGACAGAGAGAATAAGTTTAAGAAGGCTAGTGAAGGCCATCAATATACACTATGCACAGCTAGTTGCGTTTCTGGGATTATGGTAACGCTTTTCTATCGGAATCTGGACGGACGGACGGATGCGGACCAGAGATATTCAATAGAGAGAGAAATTCAAATCACATTTTCCATCATAGTTAAAATTTTGTTGATAATAATAAATATTATATTAACATGTGAATAAAGACACAAGTGATAAGGATCAATATTTAGCAGTAATAAGTAATTAACATTAATACGATAATTAATGGTAACAATAAAGCAAAATACAGTGATTGGATATACAATACATATCGATTAAGTAACAACAAAATGTCCTGCGTTTATATGCTTGTCATTATACACTCCAAGTGTATTTCTTTAAACATTAGATGCGTTGTCATTGTCAACCTGCTCCGATGGCATAGAGATTTTGACAATTTTTTCGTAAGGTTGAGGCTCTTGTGGAACAGGACTCAGATCTCTCTCGGGACTAGCCGTGTCAACGTAACGATTGATGACAACAGCATTTGGTATCTTATCCATGAGGACTGGAGCTATGCCGTTACGAGTATTGATGGGGTTCTCGTATTTGGGTTCTTCGGGTTCTGTGAATTCTCCAAAAGAAGCCGAGAACTCTTCGCTGTCAGATTCACTGGCTATAGCAGGCACTGTACCATAAATGGGATTGTCAAGAGCATTAGTACAATTTGTATTCTACAAATAAAATTAAAAACAGAAAAATTGTTATTTTTATCATAGAATTTAATTATTTTAAATCATGACAAATTTTGACAAGTGGCTCTATATGAGTTTATGGCCAATTGTTAGAGAATTCTCAATTTTTACTAAGCGTCACTATATAGTGTATTGTACAGGTATTATTATACCTTTGGTGGAGTGCTCCCACTCTCAAGGAGTGACTGAGTGACAGCAGGGTTGGCATGAACAAGAGTTGAATCAAGATGCCATAGGGCACGCTGTGCTTTCCTTCTTTGTATGTTTGGATACACTGACCTGGAATAGAGACAGAAATAAACATAAAATCAAGTAGAATACATCAGTCTAACAATTTAGTGAGAACTTATTATACACAAGAATTTATAAAAATAATAGTAATGTACATGTTTAGCAATGACAATGATGCATGTACAGTAGGGCATTTGTTCTACTTACCTCTTAAAGAAAATGACAACTGCCACTACAATAATGATAATAATAATTACAGCAATGATCACTCCAGCAGACAGGCCACCAGCTTCATTATTGGAGAGGGTACTACTCTGAAAATCACATCTTGGACCAAAATAGCCAACACAACTGAACAAAGAAAAAAGATAATACATTAATTATGAATGCACACTCATTGATTGAATGTATTGGAGTGTGAACATATACATGAAGCCATAAAGATGACACTATTCACTTACTTGCAGGATGGAGCTGGTGGTTCTTCAAACTCATCAAGAAAACAAGTACCACGCCCTCTGCAATAATCAGCTGGACAGAACCCTGCAAATGAAAGTAATGAAATATAAAACAAAATGAACAAATGATATTCAAGTACTTCTTGAGCAATCATTCCCTGTATAAGTATAGTCACAAGTGCATGTGAGGGGACCTGAACATGTGCCACCATTGAGGCAAGGAGACTCACAAAAGACTACAAAAATAGAGTGAGGATCATATAATGTTGTATGTTGTATAATAATAATAATAATAATAAATTAATAATATTAATAATAATAATAATAAAGTATATAGTTGTTGCCTTACATGAGTCACATGTAACTCCAGTGTA